CTTTCATTCATTTACCCAGTAACGGTTACGCGAATCTCTGCTAGAGTTAGCGACTGACTCGCCGTTACACCGTTACATCATTTATTCACAATAAAAAAGTTCGGGTCATGTGTTTTTGACCAATCACTGATGATTCCTCAAAGGTAATATTATTAAGAAATTCCTCGGATCGTGGAAATGTGGTTCATTATTATATGAAGAAAGCTAGTTATCTGATTACTATTTCTGTATATTAATGAACGTTTCTAATTAGATTCAACGCGTGCGCAACGAGGATTGATGGTGAAAGACTTGCTTTCCGAATCCATAATAGATTAGTTAGATATCCATGCCCATTCACTCAGTTTAGGCTCTGCTTCTTCATTTTTTCAATGATGGCAAAAATTTTCGCGTAGTGTGAGAAGGCATGTTTTATTAGCGAAGCCGTGCACTCTTATGTCTTTATGTAACGGATAATGAAAAATGCGACACTAAGAAGTATTTTATCGGGTACATTATGCCTTTTTTAATGTGCTTATTATATAGTCGCAATTATTTTTCGTTTTCTTATCGAGAAAGTCGAGAAAGCTGAATTTTTCTTGACAAAAGTGATCGCAAAAAAGTTGATTCGAAGTTTTGCATATATGAATAGGAGAGCGCTGAAGTTAAATCCGAGAATGTTGAGATCAAGAAGCTGAAAATGCGAAGCTAAATAAGCTATAGAAGAGAATGCCGAGCTTAAAGCCGAGACAGCAAAGATTAAAAAACAAACCCGAGTCGTTACTGATAAACAAGATGTGTCATCTACAGAAGATACAGTTAATATATACATGCTTTTTTAGTATAGTACGTAGTTGAGGCGTCACATACAGTACTGCATTTCTTATGTAATACATGGCATGGTAATGATTGTTTGCAATTATTGTGTAACTGTGTAGGGCTTTACTGTATATCTGATTGTATTTGTACACCTACTGTACACAATTCTTAAAAAATGAATTTAAAATTTCTAGAAAAATTATCAAAAGACTTTACGGGACTACTAGATGATAAAGAAGACTATAATGTTATCTTCGAGATTGATAAAGAATTAGACAAGAGATCATTTACTGCCCACTCGGCAGTATTGCGTTATAGATCGCCTTACTTTCGAAAGGAACTGACGAAAATTACCGAAAATGAACAGCGCATTAGGACTTTTGTAAAACCCAACACTTCTGCTAAAGTTTTCGAAGTAATCCTCAGGTGAGTAAGTTGTTAAAGACGCATCATTAAAATTATATATAAAATAATTAACAGTAACTTGTATATATATATATATTTATTTACGTTTATAGATATATCTATGGAGGGGTTGTTGATCTAGAAAATATTGACAATAGATTTGTTTTTGATTTAATGGTATCCGCCGATGAGCTTGAATTCGAAGAATTGTCCAAAAAATTGGAAAGTTATCTTATCGAATATAAAGCGTCCTGGTTACGCACACACTTTTCTCTCGTTTATCGATCGGTATTTGATAGAAATGATCGTTTTAAAAGCTTGGAAATTTTTTGTAATGATATAATAGCAAAATATCCTCATCTCATATTTGACGCAGGAGATTTTACTTCTATTAAAGAAGCGGCGTTAGTTTCTCTTCTGAAAAGAGATGATTTGCAAATCGAAGAAATCAATGTCTGGGATAAAGTTATTCAATGGGGAATTGCTCAAGATCCTACCCTGCCTTCGGAAATCGAGGAGTGGTCAAAAGAAAATTTTAGGAATCTAAAAGGAATTCTTCAGCAATGCCTGCCCCTTATTCGTTATTTTCAATTTTCCGGCGATGATGTTGCTAATAAATTAAAACCGTATAAGAGGATTTTCGAAAAACAACTTTGGAATGACATAATGGATAAATTTCTTACTCCCGACAAAGAAATAAAGTCAATTATTTTACCTGCAAGATCGGTGATCAATCAAAAGCTTTCAAAACGAACGAGTGAGCCAATTTCAAAATCAGAAACCTTAAAAATCTCAGGTGAACATGGGTATTGTGTGCACAACACGTTAGACGAATTATATCAACTTATTATCGATCAAATAAGTGAAACACCTTCTGATTCAGAGTTAACAACTTGCATTAATACCTTTATTGAAAACAATCAGACGACTTCCGAACATATTTTTAATTTATTAACTAGCCGAAAGGAAAACCCTCGAAATGCAATGATCCTCGGAGTTCTTTTTCAAAATGGAATTGGGGTCACTAAAAACAACGAAAAAGCATTTCAATGGTACTTGAAATCCGCTGAGGGTGGAAATACCGATGGACAAAATAATCTTGGATATTGTTATCAACATGGAATCGGAACCATTCAAGACAATGAAAAAGCATTTCAATGGTATCTGAAATCTGCTGAAGGTGAAAATACCGCAGGACAAAATAATCTTGCAAATTGTTATTATGATGGAATTGGAACTGCTCAAGACGACGAAAAAACATTTCAATGGAGTCTAAAATCTGCTAAAAGTGGAAATTCGGCTGGACAATATAATCTTGGATTTTGTTATCGTAATGGGATTGGAACCACGAAAAATGAGGAGATGGCAAAATATTGGCTTGATAAATCTGAAATGTAGACAGATATATTTTAGCATATGCTCATACCTTTTATAATTGATTTTTTTTTAAAAAAATTATTATTTGACTGATAATAATTTTTCTTAAAATTTTTAATTTATTGCGATTGATTTTATTAAAAAAAAAATGGTATATTATTTATGCTATAGTAATGCAAAGAAATCAAATAAATAATTCAGTCAAAAAAAATAGAACAAATCAACAGTTAATAAGGCAGTATAGCTACCAATCATTGTTCATATATTTGGATGTAAAAAGTACAGATAGAAAAGATAATAAATCAAAACAAATTAAAGTAAATAATCAAATTGATAATTAATTACTTCCTCTTACAAGGTGACATTATACAGTAATACTTATCTAAGCTACTTCCGTTCATTTAAGAACGCAGACCGAAGGTGAGGTTATTAAGTAATTGGATTAGTTGGAAGATTAATTGATTATTTGAATTGATCCACTATTCGTGGAGTTTAATATCTACGTTTTTAATTATTATCGGAGTTGGTGATATTTATACTAAACGTCATATTTCATTGGGCTCGTAGTTGGATATATTTTCTTTCTTTTATTACTTGAAGATATTTAACCATATTGTGATGGTTGTTGTAAGTAGAAAAATTGGCATAAAGTGTAGAGGTTACACATTTCTTTGCAATAAAAGGTTCAGGCAATTTCTGGTCCTTTACATCCAAGTTTATAAATAAATTCTGATCTGTGATTTTTATATAAAAAGGCGAAGAAAAAATATCTGGGATGCCCTTTAATCCCTTCGTTATAATAATTAACGATTTGAGGGAATAAACCATTTAACAAACAATAACCTCGCTAGCTCTGCTAATAAATCTTAACAGACTTCTCCATGATAAATAGATAATAAAAAATTCATATTTAATACATTTTTTCCTTATATTTAAGGTTTGTTTATATGCTATAACATTTTCACACACTTGTGTATATATGCTAACAGACAAATTTCCACTTATAGATGCCATTGTTTGCTGTTTCGGGAATTACTTCATTTTTTGGATTTCTCCGACTTATTGATGTTCGTCAAGAAAATATCAATTTACTTGTCACATTTGATTTTTCACACATCACTGAGACGTCAAGCATAATTCGATTCTTATACACGTGATACCATATTTAATAAAATTCTAATTGTGATACCCGATTCATCACCGAACTTGCCAATTGTGATTCCTGATTTGGTAAAATCGAACGCATTCTTTGAACCCACCATACAATTTTAAAAGGATTACATAGAATTTGCATCAATTAATGGATCTATATTAACTCTCCAAAACGAAATCAATCGATGTTATGCTGTTGCCCAGGCACGAAATGTCACTGTTCCCAAAATAAGAATCTTACCCACTGATGAAACAGAATTTCAAGACAACGACTATTCCGACCAACAAAGTGATGAAAATAAATCCGAAGCTTCTAGTTCGAGTCAACGATTATTTCAGATATCACTTCGATAATCTGGTGTCAGTTGAAGATTATTTTGCTAGGATTTTGGTAAATAGAGGATGTTCTTTTGATGATATACGTAATGTTATAATGGTTGAACTTCTTACTATTGGGATGGGAGAAATTGGTAAAGACTCGATTAAAAATTATTATCGTAAAACCAATGAATTAAGAGTAGTTTAGATAAAATATGTGTTTGGATTAATAGCAAAACAGTTAATATTGAGTAGCGGGAAAGGAACCGCCAATATATAGGTTGGGGGCTCGACAGGCATGTTCTTTTATGCCTTCTAAGTCTATTATTAAAAATATAAATCACAGACCCCATTTTTTAATGAATATGTCTACCTTTTCCAGAATATAATATTTTACCGATTGAGATTGGAGGCTCACGGTGTTTTTTTCCGGGTGATAAGCAAATATATTGCTTCCCAACACTTCATTTAATTTATCAATATTATTGAAATAGTCCACGAACGCTAAATAGCTAAGCTCCTTAGGCTTCAACAAATCCTTGATAATATTCTTACCTACTTTGTAACGTGGACCATTTGGAACAGATTGAAATTATTTCTTAACTTCGTTTAAGACTTTCTGTTTAATGACTACAGAAAAAAGGATAAACAATTAATAAAAATGCAAATTCATTTGATGAAAATACAAAGCTAATTCCTACTTTTAAGTTTAAGTCCCACAAAAAAGTCATCCGCCAGTCTTCAGCTCTACAAGACGACCACCAACCAATTCGTAGTTATTTCGCACCTACTTAATTGATATTGCGCTTCTTAGTCAGATATGTCATTTGCTAAGGTCACCAATTTCCATCACAGGTTTTTTCGCAAACAATACCAATTTTCGAGAGCATAAAACAATATCAGTACTTACATTCCATTATTCTAGGCACCGAACCTTCACTGCTTACAAACACAGCGATATATTTTCTGTCATCGGCATTGTCCTTGGCATCATCTTGGAGACTGTCGATGATTTCCGGATTTTTGTGAACCAATAGGCTAATATTATCGTAAACAATAACCGGTGGTTTTGATTGTATACTGCACCAGCACGCTTAAAGGCTTTTAGAGCTCTTACCCACTTGTGATCCTTTAATTAATCTATAAAAACAAGAATCAGAATCAAAAAATTCGAGTTTTCAATATACTGTAGCAACAATGAAGATCATACTTTTAGTTGTGCCTAGGATTTTTTGTGTAAAAGAGATCTGTTTTTCGAATGTGAAATTAAGGGTACTTCCAAATTCTTCACCAAACCTTTTAATATCTGATAGAACATCAACGCACATAACTCCGTGTCCAACTTCACTCGATGCAATCCTTGTCAGCATAGTTTTCCCAATTCCATGTTCACCGCAAACCATGTAATAAATACGAATGATCATAGGGTTGAAAAATTTTTTAAGTCGTTTTACAATTTCAGGTCGAGGTACAAACTTGTCGCTTGAAATTTCCATTCCAGGTCGAGTGCCCTTTTCCACTGTTGAGTTGAGAAGACGTTAGTTACATACATTTTGGTACCAAGCATATAAAAGGTCCACATATACAGTATAATACTAACAAGGTCAGTTACAACTATGTTCGCCAATATAGCAGCTACGAATAACGAAAAGGTGTTGAAAAACTTGATCGAACAATGCATTACAAACAACAATAAATTTAATACCGGAAGCCATTTTTACAATGTATTTGGTGAATTTGTTCAGGTAGGATGATGTAGACTTTTCGGGAAACGTGTTGTGGGAAGGTTGAGTTTGCGTAAGGTCTCGAAGATGATGACTGAAATAAGTCAGGTCTCAAGTTCCTCAACATAAGACTCGGCGACTGATGAAATCGTACTCGACGATTAACGAAGTGAGTTGGAAAAATGGTCCCACAAAAGTGTTGAATTAGTTGGAGGAAGACATTGAAGAAATTAATGGTTAAAAGAAAAGACGCGATCTGCAGTATAACGATAAAGCATTTTACTGTATTATTAATATACAGTGTTGTGGAACAATAGGGATGGGAACGTGACATTGTGGCACGTCGCGTAACAATAGTGTCGATGATGGTGGAATGATGTAATAATTATTAATAGCAGCTGGACACGTCAACAAGGCATATAAATAGGATAGTTTATGTAGCTTTGAGTTGAAAATTCGAGATCCGAGATTTAGACTTCTTTGTTTTACTCACTCGCGCAAATGAATAATAAACATTTTACACTCACCAAAGTATAAACTGAGTCTACGCCACTACAATAAAGTTACCTTTTGCACCGTGAAGAGAGAGACACTTGTAATCTTGAGATGCGCCTAGAGAGAAAGACGATCAAGAAGATATTAGCAAGTTCGCGAAAGTCGGTCAAATCATAATCCGCCTCAGGGTTAAAGCCTTACCTTATTTAGTGCTGAAATCCAAGCGTTCGGATTATTTCCACGCGAGAAGAAGCCGAAGTTAGCGACGGACTCGCCGGTGACGACAACAACAGTATTCTAATCAATTTTTTTTCGAATATATTCAGATTTTATGACGAGACAGAGCTAAAGTTGATGTTCAAGGTTATGACATTGTTTTTCGACTATTTTTGGTTGTTCCAGCTTTCATTAAATTCTCCGCATATACTGTATAATAATATTAAAAACTTTTTTTTAGGTTTAAGGGAGAAAATACTGTTCGAAAAAAAAATTAGGCCATTTTCAGATATAGTTATCATTTAGTGATTAAGTATTTGAAATTTTGGGTTTATTCAATAAGTCCTAGCTCTCGAAGATGGTTTTGAATGGATCCTCATACAGTAATACCAAACATATACTGTATTAGAACAATACAATTTTCTTTGCAGAGTTTTTTAAAACCCAATTACGTGTTAATTGCTCCCTAAAGTCATCTTTCATTTTTGTGAAAATGTTTTACGTGTTGTCATGTTGTTTACATTGTACCTCTATCGCAATCCATACTGTTGATAGTAAATATCAAGTTCTAATTTTCGAGGATACTCCGGTGATTTATTTAATAAATTGGTCTGCGAATGATAGGTGACTTCCCGACATAGATTTTCATGTTTATATAAGCAATATGAACACCAAATTTTAACATGCTTAATGCGGGCAACCATTTATGACCCTTACTACACATCCAATGCGTCGGAACATAACAATCTCAAACCACGAGATTTTAATGTCATGAGGTAAGTTTGTTTTAAAAAAATTTCTTTAATTCTATCTTTTTGCCACAACATTTTAATACACAGATTTTATCAAATTAAGACAAAAATTTCGATTGATTTTCTCCACTTTTTTTTTTACGTATGATACAAAGTCATTTTGTTTTGGATTGAATTAAGTCTGGAAACAAAGATGATCAACTGAAAATTTGTGGGTAGTGATTTTGCAAAAATGTTAGTGTCTTTACTTAAGGCTTAATATTATTGTCATATTAAAATGTTTCTGCTTTGTCAACTTTTCGGATCTAATTAAATAAATTTTGCTTCAACGTTTTGTGATACAGCTTGTTGCTTATAGTACCTCTAAATATGATAACCAACTATTTTTTTTACGCAAAAGATCTCTAGACATTAATATTGTAAAAATATTTTACATTGCATGAATTAGTAAGTTTTATCATGTATCCTGTGACAATTATATGGCTCCCAAATACATGTTACTAATGTAAAATATTAAGATATAATATTTATTGATTAATTTTTATTATTTATATAACAGAATCAATACATTTATTATTATTAGATTGTGTATTGATAAATTTATTATTTGTGTAAAAAAGCAATAGTACAATAATGCAATATAATAAAAATTATATAGATGTTAACCTAGCAAAAATTGAAATAAAACAATATCAGACTATAAAATCAAACATTAATGAACAGATAAAAAAATTTAAGCTATCAGATATAATAATTAAAGGAGGTATATATGAAAAATTATTAAATAATATCTAGCAATATTAAAACAGACAAAATTTAAGCAATAGTTCAAAGTATATTTATAGTGAAATTGAATTCGAACATTTTTTAAAAATAGTATTATGTTAGAATTATCAAAGAATATAATGTAAATAATTGAAAATTATATTTAATTAAGAATTATATTATGGATCAATTTTTTTTATAATAATAAGGAAAACTATATAAGAGGCATGACAAGACAAAAAATAAAAGTATAGGATTGGATACAGAATCTGGTGCAGCACAAGGTAAGATGCATCAGATTATATATCAATGGAAGGCTAAAAGTCTGTGAAAGTTTATTGTAAAATTGCAAGATATAATGATTAATTTGGAAATATATCATAGGTAATATAAATAACTGTAAAATAGAATAGAAAAATATATTCAAAAATGAATATAAATTTGCTTTGTAAATTCAATTAAAATATAATATATTTAAAATCAATAAAATAGATAAGTTATATGTTTAAAAAAAATCTATTTTATTTAATAAAATATATTTTATTATTATATTTTTAAAAAATTCTTTAATTACTAACTTATATCTAAATAATAATATTAGATAATACAAAAGATTTTTACCATTTCTAAAACTTATATAATATGTAAAAACTTTTCTTTTTCTTTTTTTTTTGTAAATAAATACCAATTTTTTATTTTATTTATATATATCAGGATATACAGTATATTATAAAAGAAATAATATCTCTTATATATTAATACAATAAGTTAAATATTAACTTATCTAAAATAATATTTGATTAATATTAAAAAGAAAATTTAAAACAATATACTGTATCTTATCAAATAGTACCAAACAGTTTTAAATACTTACTCAGATTAAGAGAAGTAGAATTGGATAATAAAGATATTAGATTTTGAATATATTCAAAATAATTATATTTAAATTGAATAAAAGTGTTAGTAGCTATGTATGTAGATCAATAGGAATTTCGTCAAGAAAAATGTAACAAGTGAAGTTTTGTTTAATAAGTATAATTGTTGATAGGTTTAAAAAAATAAATTGAATTGTTATAATTTGATTTTATTTCAGTAAATAGTAAGATATTAATTATGAAACAATATAGTTTTTATATTAGATTATATAATTGAATTAAAGCTTCTGTTACTTCTTTAATTCAATTGAAGAAGTTTGATATTGAGAAGATTTTATTTATAATACTACATAACAATTTAATGATTTACATATATGCAAAATTAATCCTTGATTATTGTCTAGTTAGAGAAATTGATTTATAGTTTTAAAAATTTGTTTGGCTTCTTTGAAGATATTAGAATATTTAAAATATACTGAATATTCTTGGTATAAAACTTCTTTCTTGAATACAAAATATCTGAATATTGATTGGAATATAATTGATGAAGTATTTGACAAGTAAGTAAGATTTCTAATAATAGTTTATTTCAAATGGAATTAAGTTACTATGGTTGTTATTATACAGTTTCTTTATTTTCCTATTAAATTTGTTAATTTTTAGATCATATAAGATATGTACATATTCAAAAGTTTAAGAAATGAAGAAACTTTTACAAATAATATAATTTCTGATAATATTGAAGATTTTTTTGTATTATTTAATACTATTATCAAAATATATATTGTTAATTAACAGATTTTCCAATAAATACAGTAAGAAATTGCTCTATTAAATAATTATAGTTAACAACAATTTGAATTTGAATTTGATATAGATAATTTTATAGACTTTTGCTATAGTTATTAATTTATTTGAATTAGTACAAAAAAGTTAATTTTTATTATTATTCTGAATACTCAAAAACTAGTTGAAGAATTTTTTTATTGCTTTTGATTTTGATAATATTGCAATATAGACTTTATTAAACAATATTAAGTATTACAAATAAAGTACTGCCTGGTAATAAACATGAATTAAGAAATTCAACTTTGATATCATTTTATAATTAAATTATATGAAAGACTATCCAAACTTTTCTTTGCTATTAAGGTTTTTAAGGCTAAAATACAATAATTTGATCTAATTTTCTTTCTTAAACTCTATAAAACAAATGCACAATTCATAAATATACATTTATGATAACAAACTGT